AATATACAGAACTAGTGAAGAATGGGTTGGAAGAAGTTTGCAGCCGAACGAGCCCGTGTCCGCAGCCGCGAGGGCGGTATCCGAAGTGTGAGAGCGCGAAGCCGTCACGGTGCCCGCAGCGAGGTAATGGCTAAATCAGCCTTGAAGCTGATTGGCCAGTTGGGACAGCCCGGATTTCAGGGCTACCGGTGCGCATGTAAAAGCAGTCGCGGGAGGTTCAGCCTTCAGTAGGGCCGCTACAAGCGCTCCCATCCTCGACAGAAGTTCGGGGAAAATCCGAACGGAGGAAGTATACATTAATTGAGTCAATGGGGTACATACCAACGATAATGTTATGACCAGCATGGGCGGCTGGAGGAAGCCGGTGGTTGGGTTGTTGAGTTGCACGTTGATGGCAAAGCTGAATGTTGTCTCGATATTTTTTTGATTGAGTGAGGAGGTACCGTAGATAGACGAAGTAAGCTAGCAGATATTGGGAGGGAGTTCCAGGTGCTGGTACTCATGGAGGGACCGCTTTCCTGGATCGACAAAGACGCGTGGATACATGGCCCACTGTGTGACGATTTCTGTGTGGAACAAACGACATATCGATGACGTTTCAACAGCTTGTTATTGTTATCTACAAATTTTCACTGTCAGCCGATTTTTGTTTGCTTAAGTATATTTGTGTCAGACGTAGAACAAATATTAGCAGATGCCTGAATAGTCACCTTTAAATTATTTCCTACCATCGATCGGTAATGCTCTAAAGCCAACGCAATTCGTCACTCGGGGAGAGCGCCGAGAGCGCCTACATCAGGGAGTCAGATGATCGAGCAATTATCACGTCCAAGTCCACCACGGGGGATGAAAGTTCAGCAGGTCACGACCAGCACGCTGGCCATCAAGCAATTAGCGCACAAACGAGCAACTATCCTCGATAAGGGGAATCCGTAAATTGCCATAGCTATGCAGCAGCACCGTGACTGTATCCTGGACTGGATACTAAAACTCCCTCTGTATGAATTTCGCGTTGCTGTTATTGTCTCTGATGATGGATCTGCGACGGAGTCCGAAACGTCGGACA